TCCAATTAAACTGTTTACCATCTTGATACCTTCCGACGAAAATTGACCCTACCGGCGTCCCCACCTATCGATCTAACGTGACGTTGTTATGTGGGTGTTTTATAGATTATTGAGAATGGTAATATCACCGAAAAAATAGATAAAATGACAGCTGAATGACCAACAAAAACAACTGAAGACAAAAGTTCGTTATTAGAAGTTACTTAGTACACCTTTATACGGAAAATTAATCTCAAAATCGAGTTGCCGTCCCCGGCGTTGTCAGTGACGTCGTATGATTTGTGTGCGATTTTTACCAATTAACCCCTCAGTAAAAAATATTTAAGCCATGTAGTGCCTTGCAAATCAACCCAGAAACCCGGTAGTTTGTGATTGTAATTGGTAACGTCCCTTCGCTGCCAAAAATAGTTTTTTGGCCGTTGCGTCCTCTGTGACATCTGCGTCGTATGACAAATCAAACTCCTCTCCCTGTGAACGATAGATGACGCAACGCCGTCTCTGCTGATTGTCGGTAGCAATCTGAACGGATCGTTGTTTGTGTTAAAAACGATCCGTTGCGCGCGTCGTATGGCGTTCTTCATAGCATCTCCGCTCCCTGTGAACGATAGATGACGCAATATAATATTGTAATACTCAAAAGCTGCGATAACTTTATCATTTGTTTATGGGTTGAGTTTTTCTAAAATACAGTATAAAACCATCGTGTGTTTATATTACGCAGTTCCGTTTTGCCGTTTTATAGCATTTTTAAAGCGAAAGTTAAATTTTCTCTATCATGTTAAGTTGTTATAACCAGATGCACCGTTAGAATGATGTGTGTGTGTGCTGAGTCAAGGGTTAACAATTAAATTGATTCATAAGCAAATAAAATGTCGAAAGAGTTTTCGTGAGTTACCGTATCACAAGTATTGTCCACGTGATTCTTTGCTGACGACTTTGTTATTATAAATCAGTTGCCTGTACAAATATTGTGGATAGTTAATTTGAAAAAAATGACAGTTACCGCTCTTGAACCTTTGCTGGATCACTGGTGTTGCCGGGCGTAGTTCCTATCGTACCCTATGTTATATCCATTATTATCATGCGGTATCGAATGGACTAAAAATAAGCAGTTTCCAACAATACACGGAGAACATCCGCACCACTATATACCAATGAGAGCGGATACCGCGACCTTTTGACTTTTAGGACCAAACAAAGGCACCACCTTTCCTTATGAGCTTAGGTTTGGGTGATACAGTAACCAAGGACGAACCCTATATAGGCCTATTATATTATATCATTTGTGTCTTAAAGAAATCGAGTTCACATGAAGAGTTTATGCTTATTTGACCTCTTGATCTATTGTGGTATCGAACCATGTGAAAGTGATTACGATAGCATTGACGATCATGAACTAAGTTGTTAAAAGGAAGACATATTATAGATAATTATCCATATCACAAAGTATCATAATCGTAGTCTTAATTCGCGGTTTCTTATCGAGCGTCGGTTGTTGGTGGTAGAGGCCCGAATAAAGTCCGATGTTATAAGTTCACTAACTTCACATTAAATTGAAATTTCATATAGGTAAAAGATTACAAGGATAAGAACGTGTAATTGTTGAAACCAATAAAGTAGGGACACGGTTAGCATCAAACAATTTACTGTTTTTGACTGTATTGTTAGCCTACAGTTTGTGATAAAAATTGCAGTTCTATATTATATTATTAAATTCATTTTTGATGATTTTAAAAATTGTACCATGCTGCAAAAACATATCTGGTTCCACTGGCTTAAAACGGTTGGACAGAATGCTACTGTGTAACGAAACTGCACATCGTTTTTGATTATTATTATTATTATTATTATTATTATTATTATTATTATTATTATTATTATTATTATTATTATTATTAAACGATAAAAACCACACGATTAGAATTAAAAATAAAGTTTGTTCGGTTAGAGGGCGCTATCACACTTTTTATTGACGCATTTATGCACTCTTTATAATTACAGTATTATCAAATATATTTTACATAAACTAAAAATAAAACACTGCAATTAATTAATTTGAAAAAAAACTTTAATGTGATCAACTATCATTCAAAATGTCAATCATTCAAATACTGACGTTATGGAAATAATTAGAATACTTTTTACAAGGAAATGAATTACTGTTGTAAATTAATAGAGTAATCTGTATCTGTGTATATTAATTTTAAAACGATTGTATTTGGTACATCAATTGCACTGCTCAGTTGCTGTTGTGATAGATCAGCAGTACCCCACCATGGATGTGATTTGAAGAGGTGAACTGGACATAGCATATCTCCCACCAGCGTCTTAATGGGGGCAGACCTATAAGAGGGATCAAATAAACAGCCTCCTAGCCCTAAAGGGAAAAGGGATTAGACTCAAGTTTAATGATGTGTAGAAGCATAATTAAAGGTGAATGCAAATCAAACATAATGTCTAATTCAACTGTTTTTCAATAATTATTATATTATTCTTTATCATAATTATTCTCTTTTGCTCACAAATATGGTTCTAAAGCCTCTTTAATCCCTTCCTGAAAAGGTGTTCTTTGTCCGATGCCTAAACCATCTAAATCTGATGTATCAAGCTGAGCATTTTTGGGTCTTGGAGCTCCAGGAGGAGCCTTCTCATTGGCCTTTAAGTGATCACGTGGTAAATTGAATATTTCAGCCATCTTGGTTGCCATAGCAAATTTAGTTACTTGTTCGTTGTTACTCCAATGGTAAATACCTTTGATTGAAGGATTCTAGAGACAAAAGAAATGAAAATATGTCAGAGAAAAAAATTAACTATCAGTAATTTCATTTAATGTTTTTTATCCAATAAGATACCAATATAATATTTAAAAGCAAATTTTTCATTTCCTGTTTTTGTTTTGTTTTGTTTGTTTGTTTGTTTGTTTGTTTGTTTTTTTTTGTAGGAAAAGCCCACATCCTATGGACTCCAGAAGTAGCACTATAATAGGAGAGGAAGATCTCTTTGGAGGTCTAAATTGATTGGACAATCATATTATTATGATTCATAATGAAAGGTACAAACTAGGTCATCTGGGTCACCAAGGAGGTATAGAATACCCCTTTGGTGTCACATTTCATAGTACGGTCTTAAATGACTGAGAAATTTGCTGTTGTTGTTTAGCAATTCTATTGGTATACAACATGAGCTTCTCACTTTACTTTACTTGTAACACAATCACTTGGCATGACTACATACTAACACACATACGAACGTCCACTCACACCCACACACACACATACAACTGCATGTGCTCACTAAAGTCAGGCTCCGGAGGAAAAGTTTTTTTGATATGTTTTACAAGTGATTTGCTAAGACACAAGAAGCATATTTGACGGAAAATCATGGAAATGGTTTAAAATGAGATACAGATTTAAAAACTGGGGGAAAAATGTGGAAAAAATGGTGGTTCCTTCGAGATGAGTAGAGGGGTTACCCAAATGTACTGGTCCATACAGCACCTGCTACCATGAGGTTATGGACCATTAGGATCTTTCCTTCGCAGGATGCACCTACGTAAACATCACAGGATGATTTACCTCTGACTGCTTCTCAGCTATTTGTCGAATAACAACCGCAACATCTCTGGTGTGTGTGGGGAATCGTTGCTGGTAGTTACACATGTTTGCAGGTTTTGAAGTGTCCTTTACTGAGTTAAATAGGATCGTTACAGCACTCTCGGAGAGAAATTCTACTTGTCCATACAGGATAGGTACCCGCAACACAACAGCACCTGTAAAGTTCAACTTGAATGTATTAAATTTTACAGTAGATATAATGAAAAAATGCAATTTTGTGGGTTCAAAAATAACATTAAATCGCATTAAATTTTCCTTTGTATATTTCTATTTTGTTGATATTCTTAATTACTTGAATATAGTTGAGTTTATTTTGTCTTTCTGAATTTTTTGGAAAATCTCCATTTTTTATGGTACATTTCTTTGTCAAAGCACAATTTTCATAGATATAATGTATTTACTGGGGCAGATGCATGGGGTGCAGATGATGTGATTGCACAACCCCCCCCCCCCACCTTCCAAATTGTATTAAGAAAAATAATTGTCATATCATATTGTAAAATTTTTAAGGTATGTGAGTGCAATTTCCGGGCATCTAAAGGTCCATTTCTCAAAATGTTTGCACCTCAGAACAAACCATGGTGGTGCTGACAATCTAGACAATACATCACAACTATTAAACTTTATCCTTATCATATCCAAATGTACTACCATTAACTGTATCTTATCACTATGACCATCTGCATAGTATTTAAACTTACTTGGATTGCACTGTAACGTCACTATCTCACCATCGAGTTTGCTTTGTCCATAGGCATTGAGAGGATTGGGCTGATCGTTTGGTTTGTAGGGTGGTTTTGTTCCATCAAACACATAATCTGTACTGATGTACACCAAAAAAGCATTAAGCTCCCCTGCAACAAGTGTAAAATTAAACATTTTTACAAATTTTGTATTGCAAGCAGTATGAAGAAAAACCAGGGAATAGTGATTCACTGTTCCCTGGAAAAACATTTTATGGATGACCAAAGACCAAAAAATTGCTATATGCCCATATATAGTCATGGTGTGCCTATATAATTATGTGATGTGATAACATCATGACCATATTTGGGTATGTCACATGTTTTAGTCAAATAAAATATGATAGTCTGGACAGGGCTTTAGTAATTACATTATTATTAGTATTATTATTATTATTATATTAATATTATTTATTATTAATACTTATATAAGGGTCATTTTTCAGCTGAGAAAAATCCTTGGGTTAGGTTTATTTGGTTTGAATCCTCTACTATTTCTGAGTTCTTCAATGTGCACATAGACGATATTGCACACATGATCACCAGCTTTTAATGTCTTTTTCGAAAGACGATGCACTATTTTGATACTTTTATTTCAGCCCCTCTAGCTGAGACACAAGAAGAGCGGCAGATGGAATAGAACCAAAGACCAAAGGATCTCCATGGTTCAGTGTGCACACAGTGGCTACCACCAGTTTAGCCAATTGAGCTATGCTGAGCCTCTCCTGTGGTGGGTACAGGACTTCGTAATAGAGGGGCCCAAGGAGGGATTTTCAAAGATAGCGGATTTACCCACACCATGTTTGGGGCTGAGGTGAGAAATTTTAGGATTATGGCACCTCTAAATGGCCAGAAATAGCACTCTCAGACTTAAATTTTATTATAAATTTCTTTTTTTCTCCATTATATTTGTTACTTTCAAACTTTCAAATCTGTTACTTGCTCTCTTACCACAAATCTTTGCAATGTTCTCAGTTGCACCAACATTAAGTTGTTTAGTGTCGCCAGGCTTATTTTGTACGACATCCGGGCGTCTTTCAGCAGCGGAATGAACAACAACGTCTGGCTGGGGAGAGAAAAGTTGCAGAACATTTAGTGAGGGGGGTGACTCATACAGAAAGTGGCTTAACAATAGAATCAAAATAAAATATTATTATACCGCACAGGAATTAAGTATTAATAACTAAAAATCCATCGATTTTTGCGACGAGTGACTGGTATGGCTTGTCTTTTGCCACATATACATATATATATATTCATTAAATTGTTTACTTTTCTCTCTGTTACATTGAGCAATGCCTTTAGATTCATTATGGAACATTAATTATTTTAATTATAAATGTCTAACAAATGCCATACCTTAAATTCTTTCAGCGTATCTCTCACTGCAGCATTATCTGTAAGGTCAACTTTCTTCAAGTTATCACCTGACCTTGAGAAAGCTAAGCCTAGTACTTCCCATGATGCACTGTTGCTAAACTCCTTCAGAATGGCTCGTCCTAGAAGGCCTGAAGCTCCAGTTATTAACACTTTTTTCATGTTCTTTTCGAGAATATTCCTGCATTATAAAGAGCATTAGATTATATAATGTACAATTTATATCAAAACATTAATTATATACAGTATTAACAGATATAAAAAGGGGTGTGGCTTTCACAATAAAATAATGTTTTGGTAATTGAAACTTTGACATCTCTTTCATCACTGCTGTAATAACATATATATATATAAAATCAGAAAGCAGAAAATGAATAGGCAATGAAGGACACAATAAAGAACCATGACATGAGCCAGGACGTGGCACCATGCAGGTTAAAAAATATAAAAAGAGACAGCCAGAAATACCAGTTGCACCAAATAATACATACAAATAAGCTGTAGGCCCTAAATAGTATTCCAAGATGTCGGTCATTTCTATTGGCTAATCATGACGAAATATGACGAAAACGTACCTTTAGCAATCGGAAGCACGGCGTTATTTATATCATGCAGGTGGTACACTATTAAGTGGGTATGTACCATCATGATGGTGCATGACGATGCTATCTAGCATGCTTTCTCATCTGTTCACCGATGATCAGTCAGTGAGTCAGGTCTCCTCTAGGCCCGGCTGAGCTGAGGCTATGCCTGGGCTAGACGGCCGTTCTCACCTAGCCTAGCCTAGCTAGGTCCAGTGTCTGCAGAGTAGTGCCCTGGTTGTATGCCTAGCCTAGGTCATGGTCACTGACGGGCCGGGGCCTGCCACTAAACCAAGATATTCATAGCAGCAGTGCTATATTTATGCAGCATAATACTCAACATGATAACAATAAATGTGAAAGAGAAATACATTACCTATCGTGGATGAGCAGTGTCTCCTTCCTCCTGGTTTGGTTTGCGCTGTGATGACGATCAGGGAAATACCCGATCTGGCACGTGGCATTATCCAGCCAATCCAACAATTTGATTCTTTATCACATGGATAAACAAACACGCCGGACAAGCGATTGAGATGGCACAGACAGCCCTGGGCGGATCCAGCCCGGTAAGAAAGAGAGAGGTGAGGGGTTGGGGTTCAGGTGTTGTTATATTTCATATACTGGTCCTTAGATGGACACCGCTACTGCATTACGGGGATACGGGCATTACTACTACAGGTGTTCTTATATTGTATACATTAATCCTAAGATGGGCACCGCTACTGCATTACGGGCACCAACTGTGCGGTGTTATGTTTTATATATTAAATCCTTAGATGGGCACCGCTACTGCAGGTGTTGTTATATTTTATACATTAATCCTTTGATGGGCACCGCTACTGCATATTACACTAGCGGTGCCTATCTACTAAGAATGAATATATAAAATATAACAACACCTGCAGTAGTGGTGCCCATTTAAGGATTATTTTATAAAATACAATAACACCTGCAGTAGCTGTGCCCATCTAAGGATTACTATATAAAATATAACACCTGCAGTAGTGGTGCCTATACTGCAGTAGCACCACTGAAGGTGTTATTGAAGAATAATAGTTGGTTCGTAGCCACAGCGTCCAAGACCTAGGGGCCAGACCTACATCACCATATAAATTATAATATAATTCTTACCTAGAACTAGGCCTAGCCTATGCCCTACAATAGAGCGGCAATGCGAGGTAATTTATTAATATTAGGTAAGGCTTATACCTTAGGCTTTGGACTAGCCTTCATCCAGTGATAGCCTAGCATTGACATGGCATGGGCCTGGCGCGGCTACATAGGCCATTATTTATTAGGCCTACTGCCACTGATGTTAGCTCCTGTTTATATTCTTCAGTACTACTTATAAGGTACAGTACATACAAAGAATACTAGGCCTCGACTAGGTCTATATTTCACTTCGTTACTTTACACAAGCAGAAAAAAAGTTCGTGTGTAGGCTAAGACAGCAGAAGTGTGTGTTCACTAGACCTTGTCGACAATAACATACAGCGCTAGATGAAATGAATATTCAATTTATATTGCTACTTATAGTACGGCAGCTTAGGGCCACATTTGGACTTAATGTGGACGTTCCGGTCAAAAGCACCAATTTTTTTTTACATGCTCCTTATGGTCATAGCATTCAATTTTTGGTAGGAACCACCTCATCCGAGGTCATTATGGCGGCCATCTTGGATTTCAAAATGGTAGCCTTATAAAACCTATGTTTATCTATATCTCCGCTTCTAAATCACTTTGAATTATAATTATAATGTCTAAGAGTATGTTTATATGATCGAGGAATACCAATATCATATTTGACCTGGTCAGATTGCCACAAATAGGTCATTTAAGGTCATTCAAGGTCAAATATTGTATGGTATCTTTAAAATTACGTAATTGTCAAATTTAACCTATGTTTATCTATATCTTCGCTTCTAAACCACTTGGAATTATAATTCTAATGTCTGAAACTATTTTTATATGGTCAAGGAAAACCATACCATTTTTGACCTGGTATTGCCACAAATAGGTCATTTAAGGTCAAATATTGTATGGTATCTTAAAAATTACATAATTGTCATATTTTACATTAGAACCATACCCTGACTCTCAGAATTCAAAATCTTTACTATGAACTACAGTATTTCATTTGAGGTCATTCTGGCGGCCATCTTGAATTTCAAAATGGCTGCCACGCAAAAACTATATTTATCAATATATCGACTTTTAAACTACTTCCAATAAGAATTATGATGTCTAAATATATATTTTCATGGTCAATGATTTATAGCACTTGTGACATGGTCAGATACCGTAGTCATTTAAGGTCATTCAATTTCATTTTTCTGTTAAATACGTAGAATATCTTAATAATTTGTAAGTGGTCGTGTTTTACAGCAAATCATACATAAGCTCACAAAAATCAATTTTTGATAGGAACTATTTAATCAGAGGTCATTATGACAGCTATTTTAGGTCAGGGTCATTTAGCAGCCATATTAAATTTCAAGGTGACCACCATGTAAAACATGTTTTGTTCTTTTAAATATGTTTACTGTACTGCATAGTCAAAGAATAACATCAA